AACATCATAGAAAAGGATTATTTGGCACGGTTATCCCCAACAATGCCTTATTATAAGGATAACCAATAGCAGATCGTACGGAATGGTATTCAAAATAAGTATATTAGAATTTACAGAAGATCTGAATAGTTGAAGTAAATTATATGTCAAGACCTATTATAAAACTATACCATATTGAACTCGTTTATCGATATTGTATGAAGATGCATAATTTGTGAAATTTGTAAATCAAAAAAATCACCACAAATTATATGATCTGCTGTTATACAACATGAAGAATAACACCTGCTGAAGGCGTAGATCCAGGCCCAAAAAACCCTCAATTTACTGGGAATTTAATCACGGCGTTGCAAAAATTAACAGTACATATGAAGCATTTTTTATTATTAACAAGTTTGATGAACAATAATTCAAACCTAAAATTTTAAACCACTTACCGTATTACCGCAAAATAACGCGCAGGGGTGAAATTATGAAATCCGGCCTAAATTAATATTAATTCGGGCCGAACCTCGAAATAACGCCCACAGTCGTTATTTTATGGTAATACGGTAATAATAAATAATCTCCCGTTCCTGGTTTATATGATGACGTCGCACAGCTATCTTATGTGAAAAATTGCAACGTCAAATGTAAAATAAGATAAAAATGATAGTATTCGATTAATTAAAATGTGTGATTTTAGTTCCTATCCGAATATGGATATCCGAATAAATTCAGATCCGGATATCTGATAATTATCCAGATAAATGCTTAATGGGTTAGAACTCTAATGTGATTCTCTTAATAATTTAATAGTAATATTTATTATGATCCGAAGGGGGATGGATTTACGATTTTTCATAATATATTCAAATCGCAATTAAATTTATTTCATAAATATCATTGTAGTTTATAAATCAGTTTGTTTCTCATTATACATATAATTTACACTAACCTTAATTTTAATTATAGTCCTAATGACAATGAAATGAGATATCAATAAAATGAACTGTTTAAAAATAAGCAATCAGTAAAATTTAAACTATAAGATAAATGTTAGTGAATTTGGTTATCTGAAAAATAATCTCCAGTTACTAATTGTCAATGAAAAAACTATTGCTATTTTATCTTTTATTCTGCTTTCGATTCTATAATTTTTTATGAATTTTGTATTAATTTATAGTATTTCTAATTTTATAATAGTTCATTTTTATAAGATTAAAAAAAGCTATAAAATCATGAGCGAAAGACTCAAAATTAACAGCGCATTTTATATTGAATATAATAACTATTAAAATATTACTCCTCAAATTTACAAAAAAAAAAAATTCCAAAATTTGAAATTCTTTTAATTTTTAATATCAACAAAATGAAATTCTCAACTACTTTATTATTTGCCATCGTCTTTTTGTTCCTTTATGCTTATGCTGCTGTAATCGAGTCAAGGAGGATACAACCAATAAAACCAAAAGTTGAAGTCCAACTTCAAGCCGAATTTTCAGATGAATTTATTATGCTTACTTGGAATAGGGATGTAAAGAATATCAGCCCTAATTGTATGTACAATGCTTTTTATTATTGTTAACGCGTAATATACGGTTGTATGCATGTGATTAAAACCGGAATGATGGCATAAAACTTTGGTTTAAGAAATTAGAGAGTGCTTTCTTAGCAATCAAGTATATAAAATCATAAGCAGTTCTTTAATTAGGATACAAGGATCTTAACTTTATAATAAAGTAGTACAATGTAATATAATGTTAATACAATGGCAAAAATTCCAAATATGACTGTTAAGATTAGCACGATTTAGGGATTGCGCTGTCAGCATTGTTACTTATTGAATTACTAAAATCAATTTTAAATTATTTATATTAAATCAATTTTATTTATTTTATTTTATTTGTTTGTTTTTATTAGCAAATGCTACTGTAGGTTTCAGAGCTTTAGATTGTGATAAAAAAGGATGTGCACTTCCAATTATAGTAAATGAAGTAAGTTTAATCTTCTGACTTTTTCAGATAGTTTAATATCATAATATATAATACTGCATATTTTTGTTCAAATTTTTGCAAATAAATAGGTAGTACCGTTTGGTAATGGAAGGTTTACTCTTTCAAAAGAACTACTAAGCTCAAAGAAAATTCACATAGCCGCAATCCGTGGGGTTACTACTAGTGGTGAATCGTATGGCAGCATTACTCCTATTATTGCTAATAAATATGGAGAGCCTGAAGCATAAACCTTAAACCTATAAATTATTCTTTTTCATCAGGTGTAATTTAACATAGAGTTAGAGTCATTAATTTTTTTAAACTTTTAATATATTATGCCACTTTTCATATTTACAATCAAATAAACAAATTTAATATTTAGTATTTTTCTAGCAAACCATGTGTCACTACATACTATATTTTGCATAATTATAAAATACTATTATAAAATAATTGAGTATATTTTGTTGGTTAGTTAATATAACTAATAAGTAGCCACACGACATTGTCGCGCTAAACCAGGGACAGATGAATAATTACCATAAAACTCACCTATGGTAAATAAGCACCCTCATAATAAAAATTTATGGTCCATAATCAAGCACCGTAAAATAAACTTTAAATTGCGTTACCTGGTAATAGTATCAATATGTCGCCTGTTTTCAAATGACTAGTAAGAAATCGATGCTCATTTTCAGAGTTTTATGGTATATCTAGTTATTGGATTTACGTACTTGAATAGATATCAAATACACACTTATGTTAGTGATTTGAACTGAGTAACAAAATCATTAATTGGTTGACTGATCTAACATAACCATGCACAATTGGATTAACTGGAATTATTTCGGTTAGTCTGGTTGAACTGAGTTAACTGAATCAACCAAATTAAATAGAGTTATAGCTGTTTTTATAATTCTCAAAACACCTGATAAAATCTGCCGAATGATTTTCAGCCGATTATGATAAGTTAAGATAATATTTATGTAATATTGTACTTTGTTTATAGTTTCCTACCACATAAAGTACCCTCTGCCAATAAGATTGCTGGATTTGTAAACGGTACCCGGTACTTTCAATTTTAAAGATGAAGTTCTTGAATAAGACCCTGGGTACTGTATACAGTGGTTAACGGTAATTATTTGGTCAATTTTTTGCCAGACGCCTAAAATTCATAAAAAGAGCTGTAAGTCTTTCAACTGAATCTATCGAACCGATTGAGTCAGACGGCTAAAAAATAGGATACATAGCTGCACACGCAAAAACAGAATGATCTCAGATTTATACGTACGTTGTGAGTAGCCCAGTGTTCATACTCTATAATTTTTTTTATTTATTTTATTTCTATTTTATTATTGTTAGTATTATTGATATGTTATTAGTGTTATTTATCTATTAGTACTAAGTATGGGTAAAGTAGGTTCATAGTGAGATACAAATTTGAATCTAGGTTCAGATTTGTATCTATCTAAGCCAATTCGAATCTGTATCCTCTTCTAGATACAAATTCGTATTGTGTCAATCATCTTCTTCCAAATTCGTCAATTAGTATATGGAGTCTTTGCCTTGAAAATTGAGTTACGGAACATAGTAAATCATATGTCCCATACTTGATTTTCAAGGCAAAGCCCCCATATAAGGAACAAAGTGATGAAATCACGTAGTGTATGGTTATACAGTGATCAAAATTGATGTTAGTCCGTAAAATCTTGGAACTGATTGGTCCGCGTGATAATATTGTTTATTTTTCACATATCTAGTGTCACATGGAACATATTTAATGCTTCCAAATAATAATTCGAGTACCTACTTTCTTTGTGTGTTAAAGCCTCATGTGTATGAATACATGATTGGAATTTTAATTGTTGCAAAGCCAATTAATTATATTCTTATTGTAATTCAGTTTATTTTGTTATAATGTAAGGGCAGTGTTATTTATGATCTGATTTTTTTTTATCAGAGGCTTACCCCCCTCCTAGTTTTCAATATATAAATTATTAGGTCTTATATATAAAATTCCAAATTTTTTGACTCCCCTAGAAAATCACCTGATAATTGTCAGCTCTCTAAGGCTGCAAGTGAAAATTTATTATATATTAAGCAACCACATACATATTGATCTATTAATTTTTATGTAATATAGTAGACTGAGGTTTTTAATTAAAAAAAAAACTTATTGCCAGTGCCTTTGTTCTATAAGATATTGATTATCATGAATTATTTATTATCTGGTTGCAAAAGAATCAAAAAATCTAAAAACAATTCAAACCAAGAACAATGGAATGATAAGTAATATGCACAATGCAAATTCAATGTTTTGAACTAGAGTTGGTAACACTGGTCAAAATCTAGATGTGAGTTTTTTTTTTTGAAAAAATTTGGCAATCTTGCCTCTACTTTATTAGGCTTGAAAATATTATACTGAGAAATATTACAAATTTATGAAAATCGAGTCTCTAAAGGTCAAGTTTTTATGATGCCTAAATTACAAGTATTAGCTCACCCAGCTCTTTATGACCAAAGTCCAAATTACCCATGTGCAATCTGCTATAAGCAGAATTCTCCTCTGTAATATTCACTTCTGCACTTGAAGAAAATAAAACTTCACCAGAAGGTTTCTACTAGCCTATCAAGACTATCTATTCCTTCTTTAAAACTTTTTCTAACTAGATCCAAGCAAAATAGTTAATCTTTTACTTTTCTATAAGAAAAAAAATATATGCCACATTTACAAAAGAACAAAAACTATATCTAGGAAAAAAAAGAGAAAAACAGGAAAAAAAAAAAAACATAACTGAAAAA